TAACTATATATCTATCCCAACCACTTTGAATACACAGATACAAAATGGACATTCATTTGTATACCCCATTTTTTCTAAGTTCCGTTATTGAATATTATAGGTGTAACACAAAATTTATGACTAGTTGGTAGATCTTGAAGGAATGAGAGTAAGTGCAATCAAATTGTCATAAATTCAGTATGTCAAGCTAAACCAACAGTGAGCAGTAAACACATTTTAGGTAACACTCCCTGCACGTCGAGGGCAAAGTCAACCATTTAGTTTCTTCATATTTTCAGGGATCCTAAAAAGGCAAGAGCTTTATTTTTGATTCAAAATGTAGCATTTTAAATCATTTACAATAAAATAACTTCTCTTAGCTATAGTTCTTTTAATGATGATTATTCATTGAATATTTTTGTAGTATATACAAAAGCATGCCTTATTTTAATTTTCCAAAATACTGTTGTAATGATTAAAACAATACATGACATTCTACAGTGTTGTTGTTGTTAGTAGCTTATTTTATTTTTTTTTCAAATCAAGTTGGTAGGACAGTTTCAATAATTAACACATTGCATACATTCAGTGCATTACTTTTTTAAAGAAAAATCTTCCAGAGGAGAGAAATAGCGTTGACAAGATAGCTCAGCTGACGGAGAGTCTTCTTAGGCAAGCTTAAGCAAGCGCAGGGACTGCGCCTCCATCCCCAGCACCACACGCCCTGCCAGCCCCGACCACAGGGCCAGCTGAGCCAGCCACAAAAATAAAATAAATAAATAAAAATTTAAAAAGGAAGAAAGAAATATTTTCCTTTCATTGACAGGTATGCAGAGTTTACACTCTATAGTTGAGGATCTTGCTCATTATCCCTGATGAAGTATATATGAAAATATGTGTATCTAATTTAAACCCAGGGCCAGTTATGAAATGAATGAGAAACAGTAGACTAAATATGCAAAGTAAAATCATAAATAAATCATTTGAGATGTACTGTAGTAAGGAGGAATCTGACTGCTAACAGCTAACAGCTAGACATTTTGTGCTCAGGCAGCTGAGCACAAGGAGGATGCCATCAGAACTGAACAGCCCTTTGAAATACTTGCATCATTGTTAGTGCTAGCTTAGAGGGTGACTTTTTTAGAGATTTATTTATTTATTTACTTGGCATAGGGTCCGGCTACTCAGCTCGTACTTGTAGCGATCGCCTATCTCGGCCTCTCCAGCGCTGGGACTGCGGAGGTGAGCCAGGGTGCGCCCAGGTCCTGGGGCTGGCGTGGTACGTAGTACTGGGGATCCAACCCAGGCGTTACTGGCCAGGCAGCGCTTAGACCACCAAGCTATCTCCCCGGCCCTCGAGGGTTAGTTTAAAATATCTTTTTAGCGTTGGCCAGATGGCTCAGCAGACTACAGTCCTGCTTAGGCAGAGCTCAGCGGCCGGTTTCGATCCCTGGTGAGCCGTGCTGGCCCCACCCTGGGGGCGCTGAGGTGGGGATTGAGACCGGGCGTGGTGGCCACACCTATAATCCCAGCTCTTGGGAAACCGAACACAGGCGATCACTATGAGCCTGAGCTGTGCACTGAGACCCCATGACCCCTGTAGACCCCGTAGGAAATGCATAAAAAGAAGGAAGGGAGGGAGGGAGGGAGGGAGGAAGGATGCAAGCAGAGCTAGGTCAGCTTTTCATCATGTGACAAACTACCTAAGAAAGTACAAAGACCGAAGGTGACTTGGTTTCAGAGGGTTTAGGTCTCAGGCATATAGCCCTATTGCTTCCAGGCCTGTGACGAGGGAGAAATACCAGGGGCGGAGGGCGCGGCGCGAGAGAAGCCGCCCGCCCGAGTAGCACGCTGCGCCCCGCTTCGCGCCCCCGGGCCGGCCTCCGGGACGCGGGCACACGGATGGAAGCCGTAATTCAAAGCTTGGCGCATTCGGTGGGCGCCAGCCCTCTCGAGTTAAGTCGCTTAATGACTCTGTGGACCGGCAGGCCTCATCTGGTGGCACAGCCCACGCAGTCACCCTCTGCGATTGTACCTATTTTTTTTTTTTTTTTTTTTTTTTTTTTTTTTTTTTTTTTTTTTTTTTTTTTTTTGCCAGAAAATAAAACTACTTATCACTTAAAAGACCAAGTGAAAATTTGCTTTTTTTTTTTTTTTTCAGAACCGGGAATTGAACTCAGACCCTTGTGCTTGCCAGGCAAGCGCTTATTCTACTGAGCTATCTCCCCAGCCCCAAAATTTGCTTTTTTTTAACCTCTCTTCCTAATCCCAAATTTTTTTTGGGGGGAGGGGACGTCTCAGCCCGCCCTGGGGGGTGAGGCTGACATAGCAAGTGGTGCCGGGGATGGAACCACAGTCCCAGCGTTTGGCCTAAGCTTGTCTAAGCAGGTGCTTTAGTCCGCTGAGCTATCTCGCCAGTCCCTTAATCTGAATTTTGTAAACTGAATGATTGCATACCCTCTGCCCCAAGAAAATGGATTATGTAAATCTTATATGCAATTTCAAGACCTGCCTGGACAACCTGAAGACCATAGATGAAAAGCCTCTCATTCTTAAGAACTCAACAAAGTTGTGTATGAAGTCATGCTTAGCTAACCTGTGTGACCTTATCGTCTTTCTATAAGACTCACAGCGTATTTATAAAATAAAATAGCTATAGTTTGCATTTGATAGCAAGCTCTTCTGTATTTACAATGTGGATTTCTACTTTTTAACATAAAAACCTTAAAAGAGTCCTTAAGTAATCTCTTATTCTTTTTCACTTCTCTGTGAAGAATCTTTAAAGTTTTAGCATTTGACCTTAGTCAAATCTGCTTATTAATAAAAGTGCTTCTAGAGACTGGGCATGGTGGCACACGTCTGTAATCCCAGCTCTTGGGAGGCTGTAAACAGGAGGATCACTACAAGCCTGATCTAATTAAAACACAGATCAGTGAGACCCTGAGCACCCTGTAGACCTTTCCCTAAAATACAAAAAAAGGTGCTTCCTTTATCTTATCGTTTAAATAAGTTTGAATCTTAAAAATGTAAACCTTATCTATAGTGACTTAAATTCTCACCAAGAACATATCTAGCCTCTAGACACATTTATATTTTATTGTCAATTGTATCATTTTTCTAGATAGATTCAAAGAATTGGTGTGTCTGGCCTTAATTAGAAACACAGTAAGAAACTGAGCTGCTCACCTGTCCCTCTACTCCAAAGGGTTCCCACCGGCTGGTTGCCTGGGCCACTTAGAACCCACAGGAGAGACAGCCGGGCCTGACAGCACACACGCCCTCCTCCCGGGGTAGGTTCTGCCTGCAGAGTGAAGCCCAGTAGAAACTGCTGCTTCACAGCTTGGGTTTCTCATGGTTGTAGTCATGGAAGTCTCACAGAAAACATATTTAGAATATTAACTTAAAAATAAAATTTCAAAATCTTGTAAGAGGAGCAGAAAATATTCAGAAATAAAGAGTAACCTGGGGACAGGGAGATAGCTCAGCAGCATAAGCACCTGTCTTGAGTTTGATCCCTGGTACCACAAAAAAAGAAAGATTTTAAAAACCTATTTAGATTGGGCATGGTGTTGCATGCCTGTAATTCCTGTCTTAGGGAGGCTGAAAAATGGGAGGATCACTATCAGTCCAAGCTGCAGTGAGACCCTGCAGCAAAAACATAATAACAAATAAATAATAACTTGCATGGAGGGTGCAGAGGAAAGTAATAGTCAATGTTTTTGTATTTAGGACAGGGTGTACCGGGTGTATAGGGTCTCACTGCATAGATTGGACTCATAGTGTTCCTGCTGTTTACAACCTCCCAAGTGCTGGGATTAGAAGGGCTCTACCACACCCAGTCTCAGTCGCCCCGGGGGTGGGGCCATCACAACAGACCCAGGGATCCAACTCTTGGTCCCTGCGTCTGCCTAAGCAGGTGCTTTAATCCGCTGAGCTATTTGGCCAGCCCAGTCAATGATTTAATAGTATCATATTTATGATTCATTTAACAGGTGTTCTCTTTAGAATAAAATCTCACTATAGATCATCCATGTATGTAGGATACATTAAATATATGTCTAAAGCACTTGGGAGACTAAGAAAAGAGAATCATTATGATTTTGAAGCCGGCTTGGACTGTATAGTGAGTTCAAGCCAGGCTAGAAGTGCACAGCAAGATCTTGCCTCAAAAGAATCAACAAACAAAATTATGTATACAAATTATCCTATCTAGAGATAGTCTAGAGATTTGCTTTATTTTTCTGATTAGTTTCTTTTGATAATGAGTGAAACAAAAAAATCAGGCGGCTATACATGTTAGCACTTATATAACCGTAAAACACTTTTAAAGCCAAATGGAAAGCTTAGCATTTGAATCAACGCTGGGAAATATGATGCTTTCTACTAAGCTTAAGGACTCTTAAAATAGTTTCCCCCGATGTCTTCTCCAGAGGTTTTATAAAATCATACCACACTGTTGCAGTTAAATGCTCTCAAAAGTACATCTTACAACTAAAATTTTAACTACTAAGCTTATTCCTTTTAAGCCTTATATGAAATTATTGGAATTTTAAATTTATATTAATTTATAATTGAAACTTTAGAAAATTATCATAAACTGATGTTTGGGAGATGGGAAATGACAGATCCGAAGGTATTTCACCCAGCTTCTTTAGGACTAATTTACTGTTTACTCAGAACACTTTATAGATCGTGGGCCTTTAAAATTCTAGACCTTCCTTGCAAAACATCTTTGGGAACTACACAGCACATACTTCATAATGCCTTTCCGTGACATTTCTACCGTAAGACACGGGGACTCAGAGGGATTCTTTAGGTTCTTCCAATTACTAATGGAGGCCCAAGTGTTATTTCAAGTTACACTAAGATAGTCAAGCAGTCGCACTCTGGAGGGGAGTGACCTGGTAAGAGCCATGGCCCTTGTGTCAGGTCTTGGATATGCTGCTTAAGCGCTTAGTCCTCTTGTGAATCAAAAGAAATAACTGTATCAATCACAACCACAGTATGAGGATTCAATAAATTCACATGTGGAATGCACACAGAACAGTGCCCAGAACACTGGAGAACTTATACAGAGTAAATTATGATAGATAGACAGACAGACAGACAGACAGATATAGATTTAGAAATAGTATTTAAAATTTACCAAAAAGATTTACAGATGAAAATCAAGAATTAAAGCAGCGTATAATTATTTGACCTGCAATTTTATTAGGCTTTGAACTTAGACATTGTCTGATATTTAAGGGTTCAAGATGTTCTGCTGCGTTTTATTCATTGTTATCTAATTGTAACAAAAATACTACTTATTCTATAATCAATTATTTCTTTTAGAATAGTTATCAAACAAAAGGTCACTAATAATTTTCAAAACATATACAGTACTTTTAATTTGATCATCATTATATTATTCTTCTAAATATGTATGTAATAAAAATTTTGCAAGATGGTTAATGTCACAGAGTGAAAGCACAGTCTAACTGCAGTCTTTGGCAGTAATTTTCGTTGTCAACAAGCCACTGTTAGTGATGGGGAAAGCTTTCTGCCTGGACGGTGATTTCTAGCGGAAAGAAGGGCCTTACTGAAGACGCCGCAGCTGACTGGCGCAGGTGGCGCCCACTGCTCTCCAGAAGTGCGGGAAAGTGGCTGCATTTCTGTCGCCTCCCACCTTTCATTTACTCTAACACAATTCTATATTTTAAATAGCTGTTGTTTTCATAAATGCAAACCACCCCTCCAGATTCTGCTCAGTCGGTTTAATGCTAGATGAAATATTTCAGTCTTCAGCATTTCGCCAAAGTCATCTGGATCACCTCGAAATTGTTTTTAAATGATAAAAATTAGAAAAGTGAAAGGAAACCAAATAAACTTTGAGATTGATTATGTACAAGTAAGGGCTTCAAATTGTTCCAAGTTTTAAAAAATCAGCTACAGATTAACCATAAAATACACTGCACAGCTGATTAAATGGGAACTTATTTTTAAGAAACTAATATATGTTATTTAACTAGAGAAATACTAATGTGGGCTATTTTAGTATATTATAGGAAAGTCATTTTGTTCTCTAAAGCAACTTCAAACCTGTTGATTTCGGGTAAATAAGATTTAAATGGACTTTTGAGACAACCAGCGAAGGTCCTCTACGTACTAACATCAGTCATTTTCAGTAGTGACACTTGTCAGCTTTGTAAATGACTTCTTAGTTTGAGACTCAATGCCTAGTCACTAAGATGAGACACAAGGCTTGGGATACACCCAGGCGTTCATTAGTGGACCTGTGATGGGGTGATCTCGTATCTATTATCAGGTGCTATTCTTTGTGTTTTGAACATATTTTGCCATTTCATCTCACAACTACCCCATGGAAGAGAGGTATTATAATAGATAATATACAAATAGACAAATGAAGAATTTATATCATAAAATAAAAAAATGTATAATACAACTGAGTGAGATAATATGTATTATGAAAGTCACTTGTACAATTTGGCAAATGTCTGCTATATCAGTTTCTCTAAAATTAATCCCATAAATTCCAACTGTACTGCGACTTGTGAGGTAGAAGGTAATCTGAGAGAGCCCAACACTCAAGAATTTCAGTGCTAAATTGGGAAATTACTGTACTACATGAAACTTGTAACTTTCAGCTGTTTGACTTTTTATTTTGCCATAGGAAATAAAATAATTTTCATATCAATACCAAGTGCAATAAAATATAAAAATGATCCATATTTTGAAAAAAAATTGTTAATTAATAGATAAAGGGAATCAGATAACTGCACAGAAGTGGAAGAAGAAAATGAACATTCTTTTGGAGAGACCACTATTGTCAAATAATTGCTAATAATATGTGTTCTAATATACCATTGCTAATTATATGTGTTCTTATCTAGTCTTTGTAGAAATCTTACATGGTTCTTAATTTTAATCTATATTTTGTAGATGAAAAATCTGAGAGAGTTAAAATATCTTGTCCAAGATCATGTCACTGATAGACAATAGCAGAAATATGAAATTTGTTCTTAGAACTATAACTTTCACAATGCAAGTGATTTAGCATAGTCTATTACTTCAGTAATGCTTTGCTTCGTCTAGAATGATTCTTTAGGGTTTTTGTTTTGTTTTTGTTTTTAGTACAGGGTCTACAAATCTCACTGCACAGTTCTGACTCGTAGTGGGATTACAGGTGCAGGCCACCATGCCCAGTCTCAGTCATTGTCTCAGTGCGCCCCTAGGGCGGGGCCTGCATGGCCCACGGGGGATTGTACCCTGGGTGCTGTGCCCTGCCTAAGCAGGTGTTTTAGTCCACTGAGCTATCTGGCTAGCCCTAGAATGATTCTTAAACAGCATCCTTATTTATGTCTTCTTTCTGATATTTAAGTCAAAAA